ACTCCTTCAAATTTTTTATGATTAATTTTAAGTTCCAGTAGGGGGCGCTCCTGTCACACTAATTGGGCCCTAGTTCCGCCACGTGACCAGCATGCTGGCTTCATACAAGAGGTTCATACCATAGAAGTTAACTAGTGAGATCAAAATAAACACACAAAACTCAATTTGCCTTTTTCTTTGACCAGGTCTGAGATGGCCCTCCCTCTGGCTCCTGCCTCAAGCCACCGGGTGGGGCAGCAAGGTTTACACAGGACTAGCAGGAGAGAGAGAGAGCACGCCAGGGAGTGGCCTTTTATTGGGGAACAAGAAATTCAGGGGAAAATTCCATCCAATGAAGGTCGAAGGGGACAGCATTCCAAGGTCAGGGTCAGTGATTGGTCTCAGGGTCAATGGTCAGTCACACCCCCACACGGAAGAGCTCTCGCACCTAGAGAGGGTGGGGATTAGTTCCACACAGTTTAGCCAGAACGCCTCACACCCAATCAGGGAGGTGCCCAATCACGTGCGAGAATGGCTTCCCACATCCAGTGGCCTAGGAGTTGAGGTTTTATTGGTGGAATTACTATGAGCTATGGCATTCTTAGTAGGAAGCCGGATGGCATAGTCCAATGTTACAGTAACTGTTATTTCTCCTCTAAAATAAAAATCAATAACTCCCGGTAATACTTGGATGGCCTCTTAAATTGTTACGCTTCAAAATTAATCCTATACTTCCTGCAGGCAGTGGCCCATAAAATCAGGTAGGAATCTAACTCGGTCCCATTTCAGGCGTTACATCAATCACCATTGTTAGTCGTGAGAGTGTGGCCTGGGCACACCTTCCTGGTAAAAATGGCAGCTTGCCATGGCCGACTGTGATGATATCAAGACCTGTGACCTCTCTCCCTTACCCTCATTTCCGAGCCTGGGGAGAGGCCCCCCAAGAAGTTTTTTGATTCGCTATTAGCAGGAAGTGAAGACCAAGATGGAGGCAGGATGATGGCATATTGATCTATCTCCTCCCCTGTCACTTGGCCTCTCACTCTGTAATGGCACCGGCGCATACCGGGAAAGGCCCTTGACTTGTGGTGCTGAGACACAGTCTCGCACAAAATGACCATTTCTCCCACAATTAAAATACGGCCTGCGGGATTGGCATACCTGTGGCTGCAGATGAAATGCTTGCTTTAAAGCGGTGGTGAGTGTAAAACCTTGTAATTGAGTCGGGCCAATATCCGAACAAAGGCGAATGAATTCTGAAACTGTCCCTTTTTTCCCATGGGGACTGAGAACATCCTGACAAAGTTTATTTGCATTTTCAAATGCTAGCTGCTTAACAATAAGTTCACAAGCAACTGCATCTTCTATTGATGTATTAGCCGTTTGATATAGGCTGTCCACAAAATCTGAATATAACTCCTCGGCACCTTGATTTATGTTAGTTAAAACTAAACTGGACTGGTCTCAGGAATTAATTGGTCGCCACATGCATTTGGAGCATGTGGTTATCTGGTCATAAACTGCAAATTCATAATTCAACTGTCTTTCCAAGTTCGGATATTCACCCGTCCCCATAAGCATTTAAGGGGGTTTCAATATTTTGCCTTCGGGTTCTTTCTGCTTGCTCCATACAAAAATCTAACCAATATGATTTCCCAAGGAGGAAGTCTCCACAAGTCAAACAGGACCATGTGATAGATGCCCAATCGCTGGCTGGGAGGGGTTGATGACATACTGACTCAAGCAAGCTTTGTACAAATGGTGAATTAGGGCCATAAACATCACAAGTATTTTTCAACTCCTTTACAGTTTTGAAGGGAATTACAGCATGTACACGAACACGCTGATCTTGTTTGTTTACCTGTTCAAAGGGGAAAAACTTAAACCTGGTAATATTTTCTCCCACTTCCTGCACTCTCCTGAACCCATGTTGTAATAGTGTAAGGAAAGTCATTGTGAGTTCAGAGTACCTATTAAAATTTGTTCTCCCAACTGGAAGTGGCAAAATCTGTATAGCTGGTGCAGGTTCCACTAGACGTAATCTATTAAAATTTCCTGATAATTTCTGGATTTTATCATCTGATTGGCCTCCCTCTGTCTTGGATTCCTCATCTGTGTCCTCATCACTATCTTGATTTCACTTCCCAAAGCTTCAAGGGGGACTGTCTATCTCTCTAGGGACCTCCTCTCAGCTTTTCTGGGGAGGGCATTTCTCTAAGTGACTAATCTGATCTAGTTCAGTTGAGGCTAAACGCTCAGCCTTTGGTCTTGCCCAGAGGTTATCCACCTGATGGATGATTTGAATGGAATTTGATTCTGTTCTCAGCCTCCTTAAAAGAAGAGAGATTCTTTTTGAAGAATTAGCCTCAGCAGTTTTTCAAATTCTATAGATTTGATGGCTCTTTGAAGCCCTTTCAGCAGATCCTCTGGGGGGCACAGATTTTGATCTAAGTCATCAAAAAAGGCATATTTCTGACACATTCCAAACTTTCTGAATATTATCTTTTGTACTTTAAGATAATTCCGAAGAGAGTCAGGCGTTATATAATTTTCTTCCTAATCTCTTTAAGTATATAAATCTGGTAATTCCTGTTCACAAAAACTTGCTAACCGTTTTTAAAAACTGTGATAGCTGGCTTTTTTAAAAACTTGTTTTCATTTCTGATTAATTATAGTCTCCAATATAGTCAAATACATGTCCTTATCTGTTGAAACTGAATTTCCCATTATTAATCTTTAACTTCCTTGGCTGAAAACTGTCTGCTACCTCCGTGACCCTACAGAAATTTTCATGGCCCAATAAATATTTTTTTCTCTTTTATTTTTTTATTTGTTGCTCAAAACATTACAGTGATCTTGACATATCATACATTTGATTGAAACGGGTATGAATTTTTATTTTTCCACATGTACAGATTGCAGGATCACATTGGTTATACAGCCATGTTTATACATACAGCCATACTAGTAGTGTCTGTTGTATTCTGCTGCCCTTCCTATCCTCCCCTCCCCTCCCCTCCCCTCCCATCACCTCTCTCTACCCCCATCTACTGTAACACATTTCTCTCTCTCTCTTTTTTTCTTCCCCCTCACACCATCTTATATGTAATTTTGCATAACAATGAGGGTCTCCTTCCATCTTCCATGCAATTCCCCTTTTCTCTGTCATTCCCTCCCATCTCTCCCTGTTTAATGGTAATCTTCTCATGCTCTTCCTCCCTGCTCTGTTTTGAGTCGCCCCCTTTATATCAAAGAAGACATTCAGCATTTGTTTGTTAGGGATTGGCTAGCTTCACTTACCATAATCTGCTCTAATGCCATCCATTTCCCTGCAAATGCCATGATTTTGTTAATTTTTAGTGCTGAGTAATATTCCATTGTGTATAAATGCCACTTTTTTTTATCCATCCATCTATTGAAGGGCATCTGGGTTGGTTCCACAGTCTAGCTATTGTGAATTGTGCTGCTATGAACATTGGTGTAGCTGTGTCCCTGTAGTATGCTCTTTTAAGGTCTTTTGGGTATAGTCTGAGAAGGGGAATAGCTGGGTCAAATGGTGGTTGCATTCCCAGCTTTCCAAGTAATCTCCATACTGCTTTCTTTTTTTTTTTTTTTTTAAAGAGAGAGGAAAGAGAGAGAGAGAGAGAGAGAGAGAGAGAATTTTTAATATTTATTTTTTAGTTTTTCGGCAGACACAACATCTTTGTTTTGTATGTGGTGCTGGGGATCGAACCCGGGCCGCACGCATGCCAGGCAAGCGCGCTACCGCTTGAGCCACATCCCCAGCCTTCCATACTGCTTTCCAAATTGGCTGTACCAATTTGCAGTCCCACCAGCAATGTACAAGTGTACCCTTTTCCCCACATCCTCGCCAGCACTTGTTATTGTTTGACTTCATAATGGCTGCCATTCTTACTGGAGTGAGATGGTATCTTAGGGTGGTTTTAATTTGCATTTCTCTGATTGCTAGAGATGTTGAGCATTTTTTCATGTATTTGTTGACTGATTGTATGTCCTCCTCTGCGAAGTGTCTGTTCAGATCCTTGGCCCTTTTGTTGAATTGGGTTATTTGTTTTCTTGTTGTTTAATTTTTTGAGTTCTTTGTGTGCTCTGGAGATTAGAGCTCTATCTGAAGTGTGAGGGGTAAAAATTTGTTCCCAGGATGTAGGCTCCCTATTTACCTCTCTTATTGTTTCTCTTGCTGAGAAAAAAACTTTTTAGTTTGAATACGTCACTCAGGGAAATTCTCAGGGAGTTAGAAATAAAACATAGACACACAATTTTGCTTTAAACCCAAGCTCTGGGATGGCTCCTCTTGCTCTCTGCCTCAACCTTCCCAGTGGGGGAGCTTGGATCTACATGAGAGGAAAGAGAGAGAGAGAGAGAGAGAGAGAGAGAGAGAGAGAGAGAGAGAGAGAGAGAGCACACTTTGGAATGGGCTTTTATTGGGGAACTCTAAATTCTGGGGGAAATCCTGTCCAATGAAGGTCAAGGAGGGCAATGTTTTAAGGACAGGTGAGGTGATTGGATCCCTGGGGTTGTGGAGAGACATGCCTCTACACGAAGACACCATCCCTGGAACCCAAAAAGGGCAGGGCAGTCTAGCGGCATGGCTGCTGCCTGACGCCTCAATTGCCCAGCCAGGGAGGGACTCAGTCACATGGGAGGTTGGTCTCCCACATTCCACTCTTCACACTCAATTCCAGGAGGGCAGTTCTTGTTTGCACTTTTAGAATAGAGTCCACCTCAGGGCAGAGGTTCAATCAATGCAGAATTAACCTGGAGGCCTGGCTTCCACTGAGCTCTCAGGAAGTGTAAATAACATATTTCCTGCCATCCTTTCCTTATCTGCCACCACTGACTGTCCCCTGTGTTGCCACATCCTGGCTGTCCCCTAAAGACTCATGTGATCTGCCTGGCAGAGGAGTTCCTGAGGAAGAGCCAGGGCAGCTTCTGCCCCTGAGGGCCAATGTCCTAGGTGAGTGCTGTCCTCTTTCTAGTCTTGCCTAGCTCTGGAGAGAGGGTGCCCAGTGGTCCAGTCCAGGCTGGGGCAGCTGAATCCTTGGCACCCAGAGCCAGGGCTGCAGGGAGCTTGACAAGCTGACTCTGTATCATATGCTACCAAGAGCACCCTTGACAGCTATGAGAACTCACTGCTTTGGGAGTCAATTGGCTGTGCCAGGTGGGCACTGAGGAAGATGGCTTGGAACTAGAAGAGGTGAGAGGTTATTTTGGCCACACCCTCCCTACCCACATTCATCCCCTAGGCTGCCTTTGATCATGCTCCTATCTCCACAGGAATACTGGGCAGACATGCAGGAAATCTCAGCCTCCCCAACCCTGACCCTGTGACTTTTCTCAACATCTTTTATTTTTGGTACTGGGTACTGAACCCAGGGGCACTCAACCACTAAGTCACATCCCCAGAACTTTTTATATTTCATGTAGAGACAGCATCTCGCTGAGTTGCTTAGGGCCTCACTAAGTTGCTGAGGCTGTCTTTGAACTCGAAATCCTCCTGACTCAGCCTCCCGAGCCACCGTTTTACAGGTGTGTGCCACCATGCCCAGTCCTACAACTTTTCTTTACCACTCCCCTCCACCACAGATGGGACAGTTTTTATTTGAGTGCAATCAAAAAAGTTTTGTGTCAAGGGAAACTTATGGTATCTGCAGGGAGGCCACTGTCAAGGGAACAGAAATGGGAGGAGAGACCACTGGCCCAAACATGTGGCCAGCCTCTCCCCTGCCTGGAAGCCCCCTCTGCCTGGCTTTGTCCAGCTTGGCGCTGAGGACACATTATTCTAGGGGGGCTCAGGAGACTCCCACTTTCAGTGTCCAGCTAGAATTTGATTGTAATCCAAATAGATAAAGGCAGAGAAGGTGGGGAGCTCTCCCTCCATATGACCTTGTAATCTTCCTGTCCAGCCTCCTCAGCCCAGGGAAAGAAAAGCACCTGTGGGCTGTGCTCCACCAGCCGTGAGCCACGCTCCTTGAGGTCCTACAGGAGCCATGAAGCAGGGTCTACTCCAAGGCTAGTAGGCTCTGGCATCCTTGTCTTTCCCATCCCATGCTGCCTCAAAACAGCCTTGCTTGTTCTGCTCTGCCCCCAGTCCCTTGGCCCCGCCCACTCAGCACTCTGGACTTACCCTGGTTTTCAGAATCTGCAGATCCCAGAATACCAGAGGCTGCTCTGGCCTGAGCCCTTGGTGTCCAGACACTTGCCTGGAGCCAGCAGAAAGGTGAGCTGACCTGCACCCCATCTTTCCCCTCTGCTCTCCCTCTTTTACATGGTCCATTAGAAAAAGCTGTGTGTTGCCTCTCCTGAAGGCATGCATGTAGGGAGCACTTCAGAAACCAGATTACAGCTGAGAACACATGTGACCCCTGGGCTCTTTCTCCTCATCTCACTCCTTTGGTTTTCTATGTGAAACCCATATGTTGAGTTTTATGAAAGGTGTGTGTCTGGGCCTGAAGCAGGGGCACAGTGACATCCCCACTCCTCAAACCCTACCCTTTTTTGAGGGCACCATTTCCAGTGCTGCCTCCTCATCCCTTCTACTTTGGACCTAAAACCTCTGCTCAGAGAACAGAGCCACACTCTCCACTCCACACCTACATATACCTCCTGCATGCCCACAAGACCAGGACCTTGAGAGGCCAGGTGAATGCCAGAGTTGGGGTGGCTGGGCCAGACCCCCCTTGTCCTGCCCAGCTCCTGATTCCAACGTCTTCCAAGGGCTCCTAATGCTTGAACAGGTCCCTTGTCTGGGACTACTACCCTTTCTGTTCATTCCCCAAGGACACCCCCATCTCAAAAGGATAAATCCAGCCTGGTCTGGGTCTCCCTCTTCTCTTCTGCTGAGTCATCAGAATTTTGCTCATTCACATGCAAATGTGGCTTCCCAGCAAGTTCCCCTGCTCAATTGTCATGTTCGTCTTGAAGCCCAGAGGGAGCTGGACTGGACAAATGGGGTTCCTGCTCAGGCTGGCCTAGTGTGTTTCTGGATGTAAAGGGCCCCTGGAGCTCTGGAAGGGACTCAGCACAGAGAGGAGCCCATGGAGTGTAGGCTGTGACATGAGCACAAAGTCTCATGTCAAGCTGACCAACGAGCAATTAGGCCAGGCAGTCTGGGCAAGGACAGTCAGTGGTCTCCGTGGTAGAGCTCTTAGCTAGCAGGTAGAAACCCTGGGTTCCATCCCTTGTACCATAAACCTTCAAAACAAAACAAACAAAATAAGGGAGACAGACAATGGAGGAATTTCTCATATGCTGAAGTACTTGCTAGGATTTTCTGGAAAGATTCCACAACTGTTTCTGAACTGTAGCTCCAGAGATGGCTTCTATGGCTCTGGGCTGTGCCAGGGCACTGGGGTCCTGGAAAGCTCTGCAGGTGAGCAGCAGGTGCAGCCTGAGCTGTGAACCACTGCACTGGGGATAGATCTGACTTCTAATCCAGCTGCCACTTACTAGCTTAGTGAGATTGGGCAAATACAGGACCTCCAGAAGCCTCAGTATCTCAGAGCAACCATCCAGCAAATGCTGTTTTGTGATGGGACTCAGAGAAGCACACCAGGCGCTGGTCCCTGACTCGGCAGCATGGAGCGGGTCCAGGATATCTACCGCCAGCCGCTGGTCAATGTGAAGGGGGTCCCGCTGATCAAGTACATTGGAGAGATGGTGGAGTCAATTCAGAGCTTCCAAGCCTGGCCTGATGACGTGCTCATCAGCAACTTTCCCAAGTCTGGTAAGTGAGGAGAGCCCATTGGGGCTGCAGGGTCCACCTTGATCAGCAGGGCCTGGCCCTCCACTCTGGTCACTTCTGTTTCTCTCTCTTTCCAGGTAGCACATGGGTAACTGAGATCATGGAAATGATCTACCAGGGTGGTAGCCTAGAGAAGTGTCACCGGGCCCCAATTCATGAACGGGTGCCTATCCTTGAGTTGAAATGGCCAGGGCTTTCCACAGGTGAGTGGTAGGATTCTGGGGGAGGTGACCTTAGAGGAATGGGCTCCACCTCATCACATCTTCTCCTGCCTGCACCTTAGGTATAGAAATTTTGAAAGATACACCTGCCCCTCGGCTCCTCAGAACACACTTGCAACTGACCCTGCTTCCCCAAAGTTTTCTGGATCAGAAGGTGAAGGTGAGTGGCAGGGGACTCACTAGGCCATTCCAGCTTTGTCTCTACTCAAGTGGAAAGACAACCTGTCCTCACTGTGGTGGGCAAAACATGAGGAGAGTGAGACTCTTCAGTTCAGACCTGAGGACAGGGGAGCGCTGCGGCTCAGAGGCTCACAGAGGAGCTGGAGGGTCCTCTGCCTGCCTTGTTCTCATCTGGGTGTGTGGGGTAATTCAAGGGGGGTAAGATTAGTATGAAGTAAGGCTCCAGAGACCAGCCAGGGTTTTCACATCAAAGCTGAGTTCAGGGACTGAGGTTGTGGCTGGGTGGTAGAGCACTTGACTAGCACATGTGAAGCACTGGGTTTGATTCTCAGCACCACTTAAATAAATAGATAAATAAATAAATAGATAAATAAATAAATAAAGGTATTGTGTCCATCTACAACAAAAAATATTTTTTAAAAATCTAAGTTCAGATCCCAGCTGCCATAGCCATCCCTGAGGTCTCCAGCAAGTCAGCCTCAAGGCCTCAGTGTGTTCCCTTGTCAAGCCGAGAAGGAACTCCCCCTATGGGTGCTGTGAGCGGGCCAGGCAGGCAGGAGGGCAGCCAGTCCTGGGGTGTGCACGTGGGGTGGTGTAGCTGGCAGTGGTGTCGTCTGTCCCTGTAGGTGATCTATGTTGCCCGCAACGCAAAGGACGTGGCTGTCTCCTTTTACAACTTCTACAAAATGGCCAAGGGACACCCTGAACCTGGCACTTGGGACAACTTCCTGGAGAAGTTCATGGATGGACAAGGTGGGCCCCAACATGGAGGAAGCAGAGGGATGGAGCTGAGGAAGCCCACCTAAAACTCATACCAATTGGACGGTACTCCTTCCCCAGTGTCCTTTGGGTCATGGTACCAGCATGTGCTGGAGTGGGGGGAGCTGAGCCGCACCCACCCTGTGCTCTACCTCTTCTATGAAGAGCTGAAGGAGGTGAGACTGCATTCTAACACTTCTCTGTATGTCCTATCTGGGGGACAGGAACATCAGGGGACCTGCCCAGGCCCTCAGGACCCTCCCCATTGGTAGGCCCACCCAATCCAGGATTCCCCACACTCTTCCCATTCCTGGCCACAGAGCCAGCTCAGCTCAGGACCCAGCACAGGCCTTATCTCCTAGCACCTGGGTCAGCTACACATGTGGTCACAGATGAGCTGTTTGTTGTTTTCATGTCTTCCTGCCAGGGCCTGTGCCATGCCTGGGACCACAGTTCTAAAGGAAGACTGTCCCTGTCCTCTCTCCTAAGGCACCAAGCAGGGCTCACTCCAGGACCCTAAGGCTGAGAGCTAGTCTTTTTGCTCCAGGGAAAGAGGCCCAGAGCGAAGAGTTAGGGCCGGGAAGTTTCCAAGTGGAAGGGGCCAGCTCCCCGCTTGTGACACCAGAGAGGGGACTTCCCTTGTGTTTGCACTGTAAGTAATCCAGGCCCCCTCTAATGAGCCTGTCTCTTGTTTCAGAACCCCAAAAGGGAGATTAAAAGGATCCTGGAGTTTCTGGGGCGCTCCCTGTCAGAGGAGACAGTGGATCACATCGTCCAGCACACATCCTTCAAGGAGATGAAGAAGAATCCCATGACTAACTACACCACCATACCAACTGAGATAATGGACCACAGTGTTTCTGCCTTCATGAGGAAAGGTGTGTGCTGGCCAGGGTGGGTGTCTGGAGAAGGGAGGGTGGAAGCAACTGCCAGAGCGTGCCCTGAGCCACCTGGGACCACCTGTGTGGGTGGGACCTAGGCCACTTTCTTTCCCTCCCCAGGCATCGTGGGGGACTGGAAGTCTGTCTTCACTGTGGCCCAGAATGAGCGCTTTGATGCCCACTATGCTAAGAAGATGGCAGGCTGCAAGTTCAACTTCCGTTGGCAGCTCTGAGTGGTGTCGTGGGGAGCCACTGCAGGGGGAGCATGGGCACAAGCCTGACCCATGACCTCAGGAATAAAACATGATGTGTCCATCAAGAGGCTCTCTTGGAATCCAGGAGGAAACTGAGACAAAGTAAATCCCATTGGGACCAAGTAGGGACCTTGACCCCGCAGCTTGTGGTGCTCACCAGCCCTGCCTGGGTGGGAAAGAGGGTGTGCAGAGGGATGGCCCAGGGACATGAGAGAAGAGGATCCTGTAAGACGCTCTGTTGCCTCCTCCCTCTAGTCTCCCAGACAACTTCCCTTATTTTTGGACTTCCTATAAGCCACCACATACCTCTGGGTTACACTGAGTGGAGGGGAGCAGCCATCTGCATAGGAGGTGTCTTCAAGCAGGATGGAGTTTACATCCAGGGCCTGTAGGATGCAGATAGGACCAGGACCCCTTCCTACTCCCTGCTGTCCAGAGCTGGTCCTCAGTGAAGGTGTCCTAGGGCAGAAGACAAAGAGCAGTGGGAAGGAAGATGAGATGAGACTCCATCCCCAAGGGTCATGCTAGAACAGCAAGGTGTCTGGTGCCATTCAGGACCTCTGTGTTAAGAAGATCAGACACAACCCAGAGGGTCACAGGCTGGTACAGGGGGAATTGTGTTCAGCCTGAATTAGGTTACATGGGACCCAGGTCACATGGGTCAGCGTCAGCAAGAGGGGTGAAAGCAGGAGTCAGGAGGTCTGGGCACGTGCACCCAGCTTGCGCTACTCTGCCCAGATGAGGAAGGACAGACAGGAAGAGCAGCCTGCTCCCTGGGGAGGCAGGCTCAGGGTCAGGCTGGGCAGGAGGGATTCACCAGGTAGAGGCAGGTCCTTGAAGTTGTGAGGCCATGAGAGGAGAAAAGGGAAGAAGATGATCCCATGCCCTGTCTGGGGTCCTGGTGTCATAGTGGGCCTCTCAGTGGAGGCTGCCTTACTGTCTGTGGTCAGGACACTGTATGTATCAGGGCACTGGAGAAGCAGGTGGTCCAGATATGTAAGACAACAGGAGCTGGACCTCTGGATAAGGCCTCGGGGTCTTTCTCAGGGATGGCTTTCCACTGGGGCTGTGGGATGATGCACCTGTTGCTCAAGGTGTGTGTCCTGAGGGGAGACCAAATTAGCCCAGGGCCAGGGGGGTCCACTTGTCAGGAGTCTGGCCACCCCATTCCCAGCTGGACACTCACTCTTTGCCTTCTTCATCAAGTCATCTACCTCATACCTGTGGGGGACCGGAAGGAGGACACTGGGTGTAGCCAGGTACCCACTGCAAGCCAGGGAGCCAGAAAGAGAAAGGAGATAGAGGGTAGGAAATTGGCCTGAGGAGCCCAGTGCCTCCCACACCTCCCTGCCCAGGTGTCCTCTGGGAAAACTCTTCTCCCACTGTGCAGACAGGCTGAAAAATGTCAACTGAGAGGGTGTGCTGAGCAAGGTACAGCTGAGGCTCCTTCCACTCACTGGTTCCTACTCCATGTGGGGATACTCCAGCCTCAGGGGACTATGTGGTCAAATCTGGAGACAAGGTCGCTATGTGGGTCAAGGCCGAGGGAGGGGATGAGTAGTGGATCCTGGCAGAGATGGTCAATTACAGCGACACCTTGAACAATTGAGAATTGTCCTGGCCACTTTCTTATATTTTAATTTGAAACAGGCTCTCACTAAGTTGCTTAGGACCTCGCTAAGTTGCTGAATTTGGCTTTGAACATGAGATCCTATTGCCTCAGCCTGCCAAGTCTCTGGGATTGTAGACTTGGGCCACTGCACCCACCTCCATGTTGCCTCTTGGGGGAAACAAAAGATGAAGTAAACATGAGTTGCATGGTGCAGGCTGCTGCTGGTGTATTGCTTTCCTGTATATTTTTCCATAAAGAGACTACACTCTAATGATCAGAAGTGAAGTATAGTGAGTAGCTAAATAGTAGCACAGTCCCTTACTATCATCAAGTATGCTGTACTTGTACATAATTGCACGTGCTCTACTTTTATACCACTGGCCACACAGTAGGTTTATTTACACTATCACCGCCACACACATGTAGTGTGTTGCACTAGGATGTTAACATGGCTGTGGTGTCACTGGGTGAGAGGAGGTTTCAAGCTCCTTCGTGTGCATTCTATGTGGCCGTCCTTGGGTGAACTGTCCTTATGTAGCCCAGGACTGTCCTCAGGGTTTCTTGCCCTAGTTCTCCCCGAGACAGAGGTGATAATGGCCCATGCCTCCTGGTTCTCCCTTCTTCTGTGACCCAAGGCCTGTGCCTCCCTCCTTCCTCCCACCGCCCACTCTGCTTCTTCCTGTGGGGGGAACCTGGGGGCTTGTCAGGGCCCCACCCTGTGTCCTGAAACAAGGCCCATGTGTGGCTGCCACCCAGACCTTGCCTTCCAGGCCCACAGACGCCATTGCCCTGGCTTCCCCGCCTGTCTTGCCATGGCGGGCAGACCCCTCGTCCCTTGGTCTTGTCTTCTTGCCAGTTTGGTTTTGTTTGAAGGTGAGGGGTGCGTGGAGCCATGCCTGAGAGGTCAAAAGTCCACAATGAATGATTGATTCTCAACTTTTGGTTGAATTACCACATAGATGATTAGAGAAGTGCCCGGAAGGGTAAGGCTCCCTGCGGGTTTTGCTGACCCAGCACACTCAGGTCAATGGTGCCCAGGTCAGGAGACAGAGGTGACTGCACCTCCAAACCACCCTTTGGCAGCTTTCCAGTTCCTCCCCTCAAAGGTGACAACTGTCCGCACACCTCATCACCCTGGCAGTTTAGCTTATCAAGGTCCCAAAACAGGACTAATGTATGCTAGGAATGCTGAACCAAAGGATAAACACAAGAATGTGAACTTTTGTAAAAAAACAAAAACAAAAATAAAAAATTAGAACCAAAGGAACCAGCCTGGCCTGGTTTAAGGATGAGCAAAGTGAGGCACAAGCAGGAGACAGGCTCCCAGAAGGGCAGATCCTGGGTCATGGTCTAGTTGTCCACTGAATTGTGCTGCTGCCTCTGGGGGTCCTGCCTGGGCCTGGCCTCTGGGAGAGAAGGACCTGTCAGGAATAGGTCCTGTGAAGAGGGGTCTTGGGAGTAGGTTGTTGCCCAACTTAGGAGTGACCTCCTGAGTGGGGACAACACAGGGCTGTTTGGGATGGGTGTCTGCGCCACAGCAGGACTTGGTTCATACCATGCAGAGATGACCCAAAACCCCATTCCTTGCCCTTTTCTCATTATCTACCTTGATAGGTAATGCTGGGGGCAAGTGTGCAAATGTCCCTGAATAGCCACTTGGTCTCACTCTCTCTGCAAGCTACGTGACTGTAGGCAAGTTACTTCTCCTCTGTACAATAGGGAGGGCTCCCCTCAGCATTTGGTGAATGCAATGGTGGCTGCCAGTGGCTGTAGTGGGCCTCTTAAATGAATGATGCTCATTCTCTGCAAGGAAAAGCAAGGTATGGAGGCGAACACCTATATTCTCTACTACTCAGGAGGCTGAGGGGGAAGGATCAGTTGAGCTCATGAGTTGAGACCAGTGTAAATAGCTAAATACTGATATAGATGTACCATCTGGGTAAGGTCAGGCACCGATGACCAAAAGGAGGCAGATTAAAAGGCTGCTGAACAAGGCTTTATTGAGACTCACTCCTGGACGAGACCCTCCAGTTCAACAGAGCCGGTTCAGGGGAGTCAAGCACAGGCTCAGATGGATTGGAATTTTATTGGGTTTAGGACAGGAAAGGGAGGTTTTTAGAGTCCCTTGTCCTTCTGGGGTTGGTCAGGGGATCTTGATGAGATCCGTGTCATTCTAGGATTGGTCAGGAGACCCCACTGATTGACAGGTAGTTCACTACTTGTCTGTCAGCACCTGATTGGTTGTTCTTTTGCACGTGTGGGTTGCCTGGTGCTTTGTTCCCTTAGCTACCTCAAACTGACCTAATATCCTGGCTTTTTTTTTTTTTTTGATGATATAGGGATCTGAATTACATCTGGCTACTTTCTGCTGGTTAGGGGTGAAGTATCTCATTCCTGTAAAGGATCAGGGAGGGTTTTAGGTGGGGGCAGAGTCTCTGGAGCCAGAACAGTTGGTTATGAGTCGTAGGTCTCCGTCTTGAGCATAAGGGGTCTGGTAGTCTTGAAGAAGTAGTTGATTGACTGGCTGGTTGGTGAATTTGTGTATCTGATCTTGCAGGAACTTCTCTAGGCAATTTAACAGACATGGTCCTATTAGGAGAAACATAAAGAGGACTAATAGGGGTCCTGCAAGGGGGAGGACCTTCAGCCAAGGCCACACTTGACTGAACATTCTCCATGGAGACTGTTGGCCTAGTTGCTGACTCCTCTTTTCTAGCTGTTCTTGACCTTCATTACCTCCAGGAATGACTGTGTTTTGGTTTACCTGTTTTTGCTAGGTGTTTAAGATCAAGCTGGTCAAAATTGACTTTGATTCTCTCTATTGTTAAGAGACAGTTGAGTTCCCATAGGGGTCACTCGTGGGGGAACATGAGAAAAGCTTTTTATTTCTGCTAGTGCCATTTGTGCTGGGATGGGTCCAGGTCTTGCTTGACCATGTGGCTTCCCTTGGAAGCATCAGGGATGTCTCCTGTCTCCAATGACCCTCCTATTCATAGCAAGCTCATGATTGGCTTTTATTCTCCAGTGGTCTCATTAATCTCCCTGATCAGGAGCTTATGTGGCCCAGAGTTGCAAAGCTCTTTAGAGAAGTTCCCTGTTCCCCGGATTCAGAATGACTCAGAGGGACAGAGCCAAAAAATATAGGTTTTCTTGGCCCTTTTAGCTTAATTTTAAGTCTTGATCTTATACATCTAGCAAGTCAGTCTCACCAGTCTTAAATTAAGAGTACTGGGCTTTAACTGAAGTCTGGCCTACTTTGGAGCATTGCCTTATCTTAGGTAAGGTGGGGATCTTTATAAATCTTAGGTAAAGTGTTCTAGTACTGAAGCTGATCTTCGCTACTTAAATAGAACTTTATATTAATCTTATTGATAAGAGGTCCAGTTATAGAACATTAAATGATATAAGTATATAAGTAAATTTCCAACATGTTATTCTTATAAGCCTAAAATT